AGTAATCTTGAGAAAGAATAATAAAGTTGGAGGAATTACAATACCAGATATCAAGTTATACTACAAAGCCACTGTAATCAAAACAGCTTTATACTGGCACAAGAAAAGATAGACATGTAGATCAACAGAACAGAACAAAGAACCCAGAAATAGACCCAAGCCATTGTGCTCAATTAATATTTGTCAAAGGAGGCAAGAGCATACACTGGAGTCAAGACAGTCTCTTCAATAAATGGTGTTGGGAAAATTGGGTAGATACATGCAATAAAATGAAACTAGACCACCAACTTACACCATACACAAAAATAAACTCAAAATGGATAAAAGACTTAAATCTAAGTTCTGACACCCTAAAATTCTAGAAGAAACCATAGGCAGCAAAATCTCAGACATCTCTCATAGCAATATGTTTGCAGATACATCTCCTATGTCAAAGGAAACTAAGGAGAAAATAAACAAATGGGACTACATCAAAATAAAAAGCTTCTGCACAGAAAAAGACACCATCAACAAAATGCTAAGGGAGCCCACTGTATGGGAGAACATATTTGGCATGATACATCTGATAAAGGATTAATATCCAAAATATATAAGGAACTCATAGAACTTAACAAAAGAAAGCAAACAATCCAATTTAAAAATGGGCAAAGGACCTAAATACACACTTCTCCTAAGTGGACGTACAAATGGCCAAGCGCCATATGAAGAAATGTTCGGCCTGGATGGCATGGCTCAGTGGCTGAGCATCAACCCATGAACCTGGAGGTCATGGTTCAATTCCTGGTCAGGGCAGATGCCTTGTTTGGATGCTCGATTCTCAGTGGGGGGCATGCAGTAGGCAGCCAATCAATGATTCCATCTCATCATAGATGTTTCTATTTCTCTCTCCCTCTCCCTTCATCTCTGAAATCAATTTAAAAATGTTTTTAAAATGTTCAAAGTCACTGATCTTCAGAGATATCCAATTAAAACCACAGTGAGATATCACCTCACAGCTGTGAGAATGACTAGCATTATCAAATCAACAAATAAGTGCTGACAAGGATGTGGAGAAAAGGAAAACCTAGTATACTGCTGGTGGGAATGCAGACTGGTACAACCATATGGAAAAGAGTATGGAGTTTCCTCAAAAAATTAAATATGGAACTGCTATTTGACTCAGTGATCCCACTTCTAGGAATATATCCTAAGAAACCTGAAGCACCAATCAGAAATAATGTATGCACCCCTATGTTCATAGCAGCACAATTTACAGTAGCTAAGATCTGGAAACAGCCCAAGTGCCCACCAGTAGAAGAGTGAATAAAAAAGCTGTGGTACATTTATACCATGGAATACTATGCAGCAGTAAAAAAGAAGGATCTCTTACTCTTTGAGACAGCATGGAGGGACCTAGAGGTGTTATATACTAAGCAAAATAAGCCAGTCAGAGAAAGAGAAGTATCACATAATCTCACTCATATGTGAAATTCAACTAACAAAATAGATCCAGAGACATAGAAGCTTTGAACAGACTGTTGAATCTCCGAGGGAAGGTAGGGGTTGGTGGGTGGTTGGGAAGAGATCAACCAAAGAACTTGTATGTATATATGCATAACCCATGGACACAATCAATAGAGTGGTGGAGACCTGGGTTGAGGGGCTAGGGCGGGCTATAAAGGGTCAATGGGAGAAAAAAGGAGACATAGATAATACTTTGAATAGTAAAGGTTTAAAAAATAAAATAAATTGCACTATAATGGTAAAAAAATAGATACAAGAAAAATGTGTTAGTGAAAGAAAATAGCTTTCCTATATATAATACTAGAGGCCTGGTGCACGAAATTTGTGCAAGGGGGGTATCCCTCAGCCCAGCCTGCACCCTCTCCAATCCGGGACCCCTACACCTTTTTCTTATCTAGCTAACCTTTTCACATTTAAAAAAATTAACTGAAATACCACCTACTCTAGGAAATCCTCTTTGAACAAATCTCTTTACAATCTGTATTAAGTATTTTCATAGTATACTATTCTTTTTCTTTAGCAGCAACTTAGAGTGGATGCAATTTGCTTCTCATTCTTGCCTCTGAATTCTTTCTTGTTGCTCTTGTAATCGTGAAGCTTATCCAATTTACATTTGCCTTTCAAGGGCTTATATTTGGTTCAGTTTCTAGTTGGCTCCCTGCTTTTTTTTTTTTAAGCAATAAATTTGGGTTGTAATAGTAAACCTCACTTGTAATCAAGCCTGTAGGTCTCCCTATCTGAATCCTATATAATAAAGAGGTAACTTGCAAATTAACCCTCACGCCCTCACAAGATGGCTGCCTATGACCAGGCCAGCAGGGGGGTTAGTGAGGGACAACCAAATGACTGAACAAGCAGACTGCTTGGGGTGACCAGGCCAGCAGGAGGGTTAGTGAGGGACGACCAAACAACTGAACAAGCAGGCTGCGTGGGGCAAGCAGGCCAGCAGGTGGGGCTGTGAGGGGCAACCAGGCCAGCAGGGGGGGGCAGTTGGGGCAACCAGGCTGGCAGAGGGGGACAGTGAGGGGTGACCAGGCAGGCAGGCAGGCAGGTGAGCAATTAGGAGCCAGCGGTCCAGGATTGTGAGAGGGATGTCCAACTGCCGGTTTAGGCCCGACAGTCAGACATCCCCTGAGGGGTCCTGGATTGGAGTGGGTGCAGGCTGCCCCAGGGGGACCCACCCCTCCTCTGTTCATGAATTTTGTGCACTGAGCCTCTAGTGGAAATATAAAAGAAAAACGACCCTCCCCCCCCCGCATGAATTTCGTGCACCGGGCCTCTAGTATTTCTATAATACTTATCACTTTAGCATGCCAGAGATTGTGTTTATTTATAAAAAAAATAACAATAAATGTCACCTGATCATTTGATTTTCTAGTAATATTTTATAGCTAGATGTATTCTAGTAATTTAACTATTACAAAACTGAGGCACACATTGAACAATAAAGAATGTCTCAAATATCAAAGCATAGTACACTTAGGGCCTCCCTTGTTCTGTGCCTCACATATCATAGCATAGTACACAATTCACATGGAACTCAGCTTCCTTTAAAATAGGAAGGGATGTCATACTCGTGAAGCAGCTACTTGCACACATATTTTTTTATTTAATTCATAGCACATACTCTTTGTACTAATTGTTGGAAAATCACCCTAGCAATTGCCTCTGTTCCTCTCTTTATTGTTGCCTTACATTCTGATGTCATTACTGTGCTTTTATCATCCACTCGCTCTAATAAGATTGTGAATTATTTAAGGGCAGAGATCATGACTTGAGCTTGTGTTTCTCTGTCATGGTGCCTGGATAAATACTCAAATGCCATCCAGTCCAAATGACTGTGATGAGAGATGCCCACCGTTGCTGGAGACCTCTGAATTTTATTTAAGGGGCCTCACTTGTTCTGTGCCTTTACAGAGGGGTGAGTAGGGGCTGAGGGAATTTGGGGAAACCCAAACAGAATTCTCCTCCTGCAAGATTTTGCTAAGCTGGCATTTGTCCAATTAAAACCCGGACACACAGCAATAACAAAGGCACTGGTCTCCTACAGCTAATTCGTGGGGATCAAACCCCAGCCTGCAGGAACTCACCCCCGTGGTCAGGGCTCAGCTGATGGGTGGACCTGGGCTGGTGCTCCTGACTCTGGAGAGAGGGACTTCCCGTGACCCGGGAAACTACTATCAACTGAAAAAACAGAAGCACAGAGGATGATTCAAAAACACGAAAGATAACGCTGGCAATTCCTTCAATCTCTGGGGTAACCCTGAATAAAACCAAACCCTGAACTTGTACACAAGCACGGAAAAATGTTGCTCAAGGGAAAAGCGATTCAGACCCAGGCCGGAGGGCTGAGGGCTAGAGGCCCTGGATGCCACGCCACATGCGAAGGCTCTGCGCCAGGCTGATGCTGAGCAACCCGAAGCTGGGCTGCCAGCGCGTGGGGGCCGCACACAAAGGCTGTGGATCTTCCTAAGCAGCGAACATGGCAGAGCGCTCCAAGGCTCCGAGCATGCTGGGGCCGGGCCTGAGGCAAGCACGCTTGCCTGCCCTCTCCTCCCTCCAACCACCTCAGGCGCCGCAGCCTTTAGACAGCCCTTCTCCCCTTCTCCTCGCCAGCAGGGCGGCTCCTCACTTACCTGCAGCCCGTGAGCGCTTGGGCTCCTGCAGGTCCCCAAACAGGTCCATGGCCGAGGCTGGTCAGCAGAGCGACTTCTTCACCTGGGACCACTGGCAGCTTCTTTGCCCAGGACCTCAGGAAACTTCTTTGCCCGGGATTGTGAGCGGCTTCTCCTGGGCTGGCCACAGCCACAGCACCCGGCCCGGCATTGTCAGGAAGGACTTCCGGAAGGTCATCAGGAAGATGTCTGGTCTAATTAGCATACTACCCTTTTATTAGTATAGAAAATAATTATGAAGTAAAATAGTACTTTGTTTTCATACAATGAAGACAATAGCACTTCATTTCCTATATAAGAAAAAATATATATATGAAAATTAGATTATATATAATAAATTCTATTAAAAGAGATATTCAAGGAGAGAAATAAAGGCTCAGGACCTTTATTTCTACAAATTAACCACTGAACTTGTAAGCCATGGAAACAAAAGGAGAAACCCAATTAGTATTCTGGTTTCTATGATGATGTACAAATAGATTCAGATTTGAAAGAAGTTTCTTTATGACCTACCATAAAGGAAGCTTTCAATTGTAGAGTAGGCTATATCCTTAATGATATCTGTGTAATAAATATGATAGTGAATTTCCTTTTCAAACCTAATTCATAATGCCAATGTGTGATGGAGTAAAAGCAATCACTTTGATGGGGTCTACAAAAATGTATTTCAAGTATTAGAGAATTGCCATTGGGCCACTCAAATTTAGCAAATTACATTGAATTGATATTCTAGTATGTTTGGTGTTCTGAGTAAGACTTGAATAGAATTTAAATTAAAATCACACTAATGATAATTTTTCTTATGTTTCCTATAAAACAAAGGTCTACCCAAATGTAACAATAGGTGTTTTTATTGAGCAACCAACCCCTTTCCTACCTCGATTTCTGGACATACTTTTGACACTGGATTACCCAAAAGAAGCACTTAAAGTCTTTATTCATAACAAAGTAAGTATTTGAGACATTAATAGTTTATGTAAAAAGTATTTTTAAATTAAATCTTTTAAATATTTTTTTCCTTTGAAACTATTTGTTATTATCTATTTGTGTTTGAAAAAAATCCAATCATCTAAAATAAGTAGGGGCTTTTTGGAGTAATTACTGCCCTGATTTTTTAAGACCTAAGGATAAGAGTCTAGAAACTAGTATAATAATATTGGGATAAGCCTCATGAAACTAACACACTTTGTAGATCAAAAATTGTTGAATATCAGCCATTTCCAATGGCTCAACTTAATATGTAATAAAGAGATGTCAGAGGTCTTTATATTGCTTTACCTTTGTATTAGTTCTGGCACTTCGTTTTTAGAATCTATCATTAAATTGTTTGCAGCTAATAGTAACACCGTAGCATTAGAACTTGAAATATCTTGCAGCTAGAGTATTGTTTTGATTAATTGTACAACGGCATGCTCTTCCCCAAAGGATTAGTTTCATTTCCTTCAGAAATATTCAGAGCTTCCCAAACACCTCTCACATATAATCTGAACTTAATGACATTTTTTTCCAATACTTTTCCATACTTGCCGCTTTCCTGTTTAAAACAGTTAGTATTTAACATCATCTAGAAAAACGCATTAGCAGTTAAGTATGCTGTTTTCTCTCTTCTGTCCTAATACTTTTTGTTTACCACTATTCTTTCTTCCTAATGTAAATGTCAGCTAATCATTTGCCTTTTCCAGATAATATTTTGGGGCAAAAGTTTACAGTTGTGAGTATGTGAAACACAGAGTTTATTCTTATTATTTATTAATTATTGTATTATTTTCCATATAAAAAACTGTAAGCTTACATTTGTCCCACCCTACATTGTCTTTTATTTATGCTTTCCTTCCTTTCATAGGAAGGAAGGAAAAATTAACTCTATGTAGTTTTTATGTTTCAAGTAGTTTTAACAATCTATGAAAAACTTTTAAAAATACTTACTGAGACTTGACACATAAAAAGCTCTGAAATGCTCTAAGGGAGACAAAATCTTATTGAAGTTTTAGCACAGTTTAATGAAACTAATTTGATGGTTTTATGTTGATAGTTTTCCCATCAATAAAATTTTATTAAATACTGTTTTTGTAAAATAAAAGATATTCACAATTTTATATATGCCATTATTTTTGTTCCTCTAACTTCACAGAAGATTGAAATATGTATTTCAGAAAATTATTTATAACTTAGATTAATATTTATTAGGTTTAATATGCATTTTTAATGGCTATTTTATAACACATGTCTAACATTCTCAGCCCGTAAGCCATTTCCACACCACTACCCCCCACACACACTCCCAGTTAGAAACACTTCATAGAACCCAGTATTTAAATATTTATGTAAGCACCTGTCTAGGAGTAAATGTTAAAATAATATCGAGATATTTTCTCTTTAAAAAATATTGATATGTATTTATTTGAGCTTCTATATGTGACATTTAGATGATATTTAAATGAAACATGCTTAATTTGGTTATCATTTGGTCTGTGAGTGAATATGTGCATTGTGGAATTCACCTCTTTGAATGTGAACCCACCCCTACATATGAATACTTAAGTCATCTTATTGTCTTCTTTTCTCACTAATTTTATATTTTAAAATTTTGTTACAGGAAGTTTATCATGAAAAGCACATCAAGGTATTTTTTGATAAAGCTAAACATGAAATCAGTACTATAAAAATAGTAGGACCAGAAGAAAATCTAAGTCAAGCCGAAGCCAGAAACATGGGAATGTATGTTTTCATAAATTTAATTTAAATAATTTCTACTAAATAAACTTAGAAAAAATTAGTACCCTAAACTTGGATGTCTCAATTATGTGTGTGTGTGTGTGTGTGTGTGTGTGTGTGCGTGCACACATGCGTGCGCACATGCACGCGCAGGTGTAAACACCCTCTACTGTTAGACTCTATCTGCAATTGTATTTAAAGGACCATGGAAGTTACTTACATTTTTTTATTTTAATGGCTAAGAGACTACATATTTAATCAAACTTTTAATTAAACTACAGATCAAGATTTTAAAAAATACTCAGACAAATGTATAGTATGACTTATGTAAACAGTGATTTAAATGTTTATTATCTGAAGGATGTGTGTGGTAAAAATTAGTGTCTTCGACTAAGGGGGAAAAGGGTATTCCTACATTTTAGTTACCTACTAATCTAGAAGATACTGTAACACAAGAAATATTTTAGGTCCTTTGTTTAGCCCTTTTGATACTTCAGACAGATTACTAATAAAATTATTTGAATAGTAAAAACAGTCTTTGCCCTAGCTGGTTTGGCTTAGTGGATAGAGTGTTGGCCTGAGGACTGAAGGGTCCTGGGTTCAATTCCAGTCAAGGGCACCTGCCTGGGTTGCAGGCTTGATCCATAGTGGGAGACATGCAGGAGGCAGCCAATCAATGATTCTCTCTCATCATTGATGTTTCTATCTCTCCCTCTCTCTTCCTCTTTGAATCAATAAAGATAAATTTTTTAAAAAAACAGACTTTTATTCAGTAAATATTAATTGAATATTCCAGGCAGTGGGTTAATAGCTGCTAATGAAAAAGCAAATAAGTCCTGGTGACTTCCTGTTCTGTGCTGGGAAAGCTTAAGGCTCAGTGGGATGGATACTGCCGGCGGAAGAAGGCGATGTATGTGGGAAAACAGATCTCAGAAAAACCAAACTGATGCTTTTACTAACAGTTCTATAACTTTTAAATATCTGTACTGTTGAGAGTATTACAAATGTTGCCCCTTCTCCCCCCCCTCCCTCCCTCCACCAGGTTTCCCGCCCCACCCCAGGCCTTCACCACCCTATTGTTTGGGTCCATAGGTAATGCATATATGCATATAAGTTCTTTGATTAGTTTCTTCCACCCACTTGCCCCCCTTTTCTTCCCACCTTCCCTTCCCCTTCCCTCTGAGATTCATCAGTCTGTTTCATGTTTCCGTGCCTCTGGTTCTATTTTATTCATCAGTTTATTTTGTTCATTGGATTCTTTGTTCATTTATTTTGATTTTTACATTCAGTTGTTGATAAATATGTATTTATTGCCATTTTATTATTCATATTTTTAACCTTTTTTTCCTCTTCTCCCTCTTCTTAGAGAATACCCTTCATCATTTCATGTATCATTAGTTTGGTGGTAATGAACTCCTTTAGCTTTTTCCTGTCTGTGAAACTCTTTATCTGACCTTCAATTCTAAATGAGAGCATTGCTGGGTAGAGTAATCTTGGTTTTAGTCCCTTGCCATTCATCACTTTGAATATTTCTTGCCACTCCCTTCTGGACTGCAGTTTCTGTTGAGAAATTATCTGACAGTCCCATGGCACTCCCTTATAGGTAACTAACTGCTTTTCTCTTGCTGCTTTTAATATTCTCTCTTTGTCTTTAACCCTTGTCTTGATGTGGTCCTCTTTGTATTCCTCTTGTTTGGGACTCTCTGAGCTTCCTGGACTTGTAAGTCTATTTCTTACACCAGGTAGGGGAAGTTTTCCGTCATTATTTCTTCAAATAGGTTTTCAATATCTTGGTCCCTCTCTTCTCCTTTCAGCACCCCCATTGTGTGAATGTTGGCATGCTTGAAGTTGTCCCAGAAGTTCCTTACACTATCTTCATATTTTTGGATTCTTTTTTCTTTTTGCTCTTCTGATTGGGTGTTTTTGATTCCTCATATTCCAGATCCTTGAGTTGATTCTCAGTGTCCTCTACTATTGATTCCCTGCTAGTTATTCTTTATTTTAGTTAGTGTATCCTTCATTTCTAACTGGTCCTTTTTCAAGTCTTTGATGTTCTCACTAATTTCCTTGGAATTCTCACTAAGTTCCTTGACATTCTCACTAATTTCCTTGAAGCTCTCATTAAGTTCCTTAAGCAGCCTTATAATCATTGTTTTGAACTCTGAATCTAGTAGTTTGCTTGCATTTAGTTCTTTTTCTAGAGATTTCTTCTGTTCTTTTGTTTGTGACATATCTCTTTGCCTCTGCATTTTGGCTACTTCCCTATGTTTGTTTCTATTTATTAGGTAGAGCTGCTTTGTCTCCTGGAATTGGTAGAGTGGCCTTGTGTAGTAGGTGTCCTGTGGGGCCCAGTGGCTCAGCCTCCCCAGTCACCTGAGCTGGGCACTTTAGGTATGCCCTTGTGTGGGCTGTGTGCACTGTCCTATTGTAGTTGAGGCTTAATTGCTGTTGCCATCACTGGGAGGAATTGACCTCCAGGGCAATTGGCTATGAGGACCTGCTGTAAAGAGCTGCTGTACAGAAAACACCGTTATGGAACTGGACTTCCTTCAGTGGGGATTTGGTTTTCACTGAGTTTACCCCTTGAGTATGTGGCTCATAGATGTGGTAGAGTTGTAATCTGGTGCAGTCTGAAGCTGTCCACTGGGTTCACTGGCTCTGGGGCCTCCCCAGAGGTACCAAGTCAGCCACTGCCTGGGACCACCCGGCATGAGCTACAGAGCGATCTACAGATGGCTGCTATTTGTGTTATGCTAGGAAGTGCTCAGGAGAAACCAAGCTGTGAACCTTGGCAAACTGCTGCTAGGGTTGGCCGGCCACTTATCAAGAGGTATTGAGCATACAGAGTACAGCTGTTTCTTATTTGAGAGATTTTAGGAAAGTCCGAAGCCTGAGTCCATAACAGGTCATTCATATGGAAAAGCCACTGCAAACATCTTGGGTATGGCTGCCAATTGGGTGGAGCAGGATCTCAGGGAATCACCAGGGTGGGGCAAACAGCGTGGGCCAGGCTGATGGATACTCAGATTTGTTGTCTGTCAGTCAGCTCGGTTGGTGGGAGATCCCAGCACTTTTGTCTGGGAGAAAGCTGTCCCGAATTCTTGCCCTGATGCCACACAATTTAGTTCCTCCCTGTATGTCTCTGGATCTTTTAAAGCTGCTTCCCCAGCACTGGAGCTCAGAGGGAGTTAATCCAAGTAAGTCTGTGTGCTGGCCCTTTAAGAGGAGCTGCCTGGTTCTCCAGTAGCCTCCGAATCACTCAGCCACAATCCCCACTGGGTTTTATAGCCTGAAGTTATGGGGACTTCTCTTCCCAGCTCTGGAATCCTGGGCTGAGGGGTCTGATGTGGGGCTGGGACCCTTTGCTTCTCATGGGAGGCCTCCTCTGCCAAGATATCCCTCGTGATTCAAAAGACACAACCTGTGGGTGTCAGACCATCTCATTCCATGCCTCCACCCCTCCTACTAGTCTTGATGTGTTTTCTTCTTTACTCCTCTAGTTGTCAGACTTCCATCTAGCCAAATTTTAGGCAGTTCTGAATGATGGTGGGTCTGTATTTTAGTTGTAATTTTGATGTGTTTGTGGGAGGATCCAAGTATCAGCATTTACCTATGCCACCATCTTGGTTCCTCAGTTCCAAAACTTCTTTATTGGAGTATCCTTGGGTCCATATTTAAAACTTATTTTTAAAAATTACATGTAAAAATTTACTGCCTGGTGTAGTGGTTTGATAGTTGCTTAGAAACAAATGCAGTGTGGAGATACACATTGACAATACCTGAAAGTGATAACTGGGGGCCCAGAAAAGAGAGGGCCCAAAATGTAGAACCATAATACTGGGAAGAATTTCATGTATCATAGGTGATTCATTCCATGGTGTCTTGATAGGACACTGCAAACTACCAAGAAAAGCATTCATAATAGTCAGCATTTCTAGTAAGAAGCAGAGGAGTAACAATCTTAGAAAAAAATCAAATGAAGTCAACTTCCAAAAGAATTAATATCTAAAGAGTCATTGACTTGTATCTCCAGGATTCAGTAAAAGCTGAGTTGGTGGATATACCATATTTTGCAATGTGCATGTGTGTGTATTTGTGTGCAGTGTGCATGTGCAAAAACTTTTTTTTTTTACAAAATTGTTAATAAATACATTGGGGTAAATTATTTTTGCCTTTTAGAGAGGATTTAATTATAAATTATAAATTGCCATTCTGACTGATTGATTTATGTCCTAAAATATTTACTGGTTGAAAACATATTTTACCTGCCTAAAATTTTTAATGTTGATCTATCTGTGAACATCTGTGTTGATAAATTGACCATTTTGAAGTTCAATACAATACTTATCCTTTTGAATATTATCTTAGAAAACTGTTAGAGAAACTTTATTTTACATATAAGCTTTTTATTAACATTTTTCAACAGCAAATAAATATTTTTCTAATTTTTATTTCTTTTTCAATGTCAGGGATTTTTGCCGTCAGGATGACAGCTGTGATTATTACTTCAGTGTGGATGCAGATGTTGTTTTGACAAATCCAAGGACTTTAAAAATTTTGATTGAACAAAACAGGTATAAAATTTAATGTCAATTTATTTGGAAAATTATCATTTTCTTCATCGGTGGGGACACACTATAGTTACATTTGTGGAATGAACAAATAGGAAGGAGCAAATTGAGGGAACTCACACTAAATTATTTTCTACACCTTATAAACTTTCAATTCTAATTAATTGCCTATAAGGAAGTCAAATAGAAAATAACCTGATAAAAATTACAAGTTTTTATTGTTAGTTATAATCACAAATGTGATGTTTGTCCATTATATTTGTCCTATTTTTCTATGTAAAGATGAGTGAAATTATGATATATCAGATGCCTATAAAATTTGGAATTTTAAAATTTTCTGTAGATATTTTTAAAGAAGAATTTCATAAAAATTTTAACCTGAAAACTTATTGCACACAGAGTTGTAGTTCTTAGAATTTGAAATTTCAGAGGTACAAATTATTTTACAGCCTGATCTGTGATTTTATTTAGTATTGAACCACATCACTTGTCTATAGCTATTTTCATTTAACTGAATTGAAATGGAGAAAAGACACCATCTGTAACAGCTTATAATGATATTAAATCTTCCCTTATTAATACTACTGCTACCACTACTAGTAGTATTAATACTTGTACTAATAGCCCACCTTTTTTGTTGTTATTGTTAATCCTCACCCAAGGATATTTTTTCCATTGAATTTTAGAGAGAGTGAAAGGAAGTGGGGGGCGAGAGAAAGAGAGAATCAATTGGTTGCCTCCCACACTTGGCCTGACCAGGGCTGGGGATTGAATCTGCAATCCAGGTATGTGTGCTTGACCCTTCAGTGTGTGAGTCAATGCTCTAACCACTTAAAACACCAGCTAGGGCCTACCTTTAATAAGTGTTTATTAAGTGCCAGGTATGTTTACATATATTAACACAATTATTTCTCATAACAGATAGAATGGTTAGCAGTGAATGTTAGTTACTGTTTTTATTTTGCCAAGTAAAGTACATGAGAAATCTATTATGCTCTACTAACCCACCCTATCCTATATAATAAAAGTGTAATATGCAAATCTACTGAATGGCAGAACGACCTCGGCGGGGGGTGGGGGGCGGGGCTGGTGAGCAGGTGGTGCCAGGCCAGCCAAGGCATGTGCCAGTGGGCAGAGGGAGGGGACGGTGATGAGGGGCAGCGATGACCAGCGGTGGGGGGTGGGGGCTGGTATCATCCCCTGATTGCCTGCCTGGTCACCTCCCGCAGAGAGAGGCCACCAGCGACCATGGCAGGGCGATTTGGGGTGGGGCTGGCCGCTCAGCATCCCCAGATAGGCCCACTGGGGTTGCCTCCTGCAGAGGGAGGACAATAGTGGCGGTGGTGCAATGGGGGATGGGGCTGGCCGCTCGCCGCCCACTGGTCACCTCCCGTGGAGGGAGGCCAGACTGCAGCTGGACATCCCCTGAGGGCTCCCAGACTGTGAGAGGGCGCAGGCCGGGCTGAAGGACCCTCCCCCCAGTACACAAATTTTCGTGCACCAGGCCTTTAGTATATACATAATCTGTCAACTTAAAAATCTAAGATTTCTCAGCTTTTTTATATATAGCCCTAGTATATAGCTATTAATAGGCACATATCTATCTACGATAATTATAAATAGCACGTAGTTTTCAAAACATAAAGTTTTAATCATCATGCAAGGAAAAGCATATGAAATAGAGTTATATAATTCTTTTTTTTCAGTTTTTTTTTATTTCAAGAAAAACATTTTAAATATAGTAATGTTACATGCAATAAATCTTAATATTTCAAGTAAAATGATCTTAAATATAATAATGTTACATGCAATAAACATTAATAATCCAAGAAAAATGATGTTAAATATGATAATATTACAAGCAGTAAACACCAATTATTCAAGAAAAATGATCTTACAGATAATAATATTACATGCAATAAAGATGAATATTTCAAGAATAAAAGGATTTTAAGTATAATAATATTACCAAGACTGTACTAACAGTATATCACAAAAGTTGTAGGAAATATTAAAAATCTGCAAATAACAGGATTACTTCTATTATATTCTAGAATATTATTTCCCCTCTGGCTCTATTTTTGTTCATCAGTTTATGTTGTTCATTATATTCCACAAATAAGTGAGATCATATGATATTTATCTTTCTCTGACTGGCTTATTTCTCTTAGCATGGTGCTCTCCAGGTCCATCCATGCTGTTGCAAATTGTAAGAATTCCTTCTTTTTTACTCCAGCATAGTATAGCATTGTATAGTTGTACCCCAGTTTTTAAATCCACTCATCTGCTGATGGGCACTTAGGCTGTTTCCAAATCTTAGCTATTGTAAATTGCGCTGCTATGAACATAGGGGTGCATATATTGTGGTTGGTATTTCTGATTTCTTGGGATATATTCATAGGAGTGGGATTCCTGGGTCAAATGAGAGTTCCATTTTTAATTTTTTGAGGAAACTCCATACTGTTTCCCACAGTGGTTGCAGAAGTCTCCATTCCCACCAGCAGTGCATGAGGGTTCCTTTTTCTCCGCATCCTCACCAGCACTTGTAATTTGTAGATTTGTTGATGATAGCCATTCTGACAGGTGTGAGATGGTACTTCATTATCATTTTGATTTGCATCTCTTGGATGATTTGTGACTTTGAAGCAATTTTCATATATCTCTTGACCTTCCTTATGTCCTCTTTTGAAAAGTGTCTATTTAGGTCCTTTGCCCATGTTTTTATTGGATTGTTTATCTTCCTTTTATTAAGTAGTATGAGTTCCCTGTAACTTTACAGATTACACTCTTATCAGAGATAGCATTGGCAAATATGTTGTCCCATGCAGTGGGCTTTCTTGTTGATGGTTTCTTTTGTTGTGCAGAAGCTTTTTATTTTGATGTAGTCCCATTTGTTTATTTTCTCTTTAGTTTCCATAGTCCTAGGAGCTGTATCAGTAAAGATATTGCTATGGCATATGTCTGCTATTTGCTGCCTATGGATTCTTCTAATATTTTTTGGGTTCTTTGTTCTGTTCTATTGGTCTATATGTCTGTTCTTGTGCCAGTACCAGGCAGTTTTGAGAACCGGGGCTTGGTAATATAGCTTAATATCTGGTATTGTGATCCCTCCAACTTTGTTCTTTCTCAGGATTGCTGCAGCTATGTGGGGTCTTTTTTTATTCCAGATGAATTTTTGGAGAGTTTGTTCTAGATCTTTGAAATATGCCGTTGGTATTTCAATGGGGATTGCATTGAATCTGTAGATTGCTTTGGGTAGTATGGACATTTTAATGATGTTGATTCTACCAACATACAGAAAGCCAATAGACATCATTCTACCAATCCATGAACATGGTATGTTCTTCCATTTGTTTATGTCTTCCTCTATCTCTTTTTCAATGTTCTGTAGTTTTCCAAGTACAGGTCTTTTATCTTCTTAGTTAAGTTTATTCATAGGTATCTTAATTTTTTTGGTGGGATGGTAAATGGGATTTTTTTTTTTTTAGTTTCTTTCTTTGAGTTCATTATCCTATATAATAAAAGCCTAGGTGGTGTCGCATGATGCCCTTGTGCAACGTTGTCACAAAATGGCCACCACAAGATGGCCACCCTCACATCGCCACAAGATGACCACCACTAGATGGCCTTCATAAGATGGCCACCACTAGCTGGCTGCCACAAGATGGCCACCATAAGATGGCTGTAACAAGATGGCCACCACAAGATGGTCATCACAAGATGGTCGGCAGGGGAGGGCAGTTGTGGACGATCAGGCTGGCAGGTGAGAGCAGTTAAGGGCAACCAGGCCTGCAGGGGAGGGCAGTTGGGGCAATCGGGGCGGCAGGAGAAGGAAGTTGGGGGCGAGATCAGGCTGGCAGGGGTGGGCAGTTGGGAGTGACTGGCCTGCAGGGTAGGGCAGTTGGGTGCGACCAGGCCTTCAGGGGAGGGCAGTTGGGGGCAACCAGGCCAGCAGGGGTGGGCAGTTGGGGGCCATCAGGCCAGCAGGGGAGGGCAGTTGGGGGTGAGATCAGGTCGGCAGGGAGGGCAGTTGGGAGCAGGCAGTTGGGGGCGATCAGGCCGGCAGGGTAGGTCAGTAGGGGCGATCAGGCTGACAGGCAGAAGTGGTTAGAGGCAATCAGGGAGGCAAGCGAGTGGTTAGGAGCCAGCAGTCCTGGATTGTGAGAGGGATGTCCAATTGCTTAAACTGGCAGACGGACATCCCCCAAGGGGTCCCTGATTGGTGAGGGTGCAGGCTGGGCTGCGGGACTACCCCCCCCCCCGCACGAATTTTGTGGCATCTAGTTGGTGTATAAAAAAGCTGTAGATTTCTGGGTGTTTATTTTGTACTCTGCTACATTGCCAAATTCATTTATTAACTCTAGTAGTTTTTTGATGGAGTCTTTGGGGTTTTCTTTGTACAATATCATATCATCTGCAAATAATGACAATTTTACTCCTTTTGCAATTTGGATGCCTTTTATTTTTTCTTCTTGTCCGATTGCTATGGCTAGCATTTCCAGTACTATGTCGAACAGGAGTGGTGAAAGTGGGCACCCCTGTCTTGTTCCTGTTCTTAGAGGAAATGGTTTTAGTTTTTGCCCGAGTATGAAGTTGGCTGTAGGTTTGTCATATATGGCCTTAATCATGTTGAGATATGCTATTTTTATTCCAGCTTCCCTGAGAGTTTTTATCAAAAATGCATGTTGGATTTTGTCTAATGCTTTTTCTGCATCTATTGATATGATCATGTGGTTTTTGTCTTTGAATTTGTTTATGTGAAGTATCATGTTTATTGATTTGCAAATATTGTACCAGCTTTGCATCCATGGAATAAATCCCATTTGATCATGGTGAATGATCTTTTTAATATATTGCTGAATGCAATTTGCTAATATTTTGTTGAGGATTTTAGCATCTATGTTCATCAGGGATATTGGCCTGCAATTCTATTTCTTCGTGGTGTCTTTATCTGGTTTTGGAATTAGGATAATGCTGACCTCATAAAAAGAGTTTGGAAGTAT